CCCTTCACCTCCTCCATCCCCTCTACCCCCCGGCAAACACGGAAAACGGTTGAAATTTACACGTTCGCATAATCAAACCGTTCGAAAACAATCTTTTCAGTTTTTCTATGACGTAACATTTAAATCTTCTTCCACGATCTCTCTCTTCCTCTCTCTCTCACTCTCTCTCTCTCTTTCTCACTCTCTCTCTCTATCGTAATTTTTTATTATAAGCATTTCGATTGATTAAAATCTTCTTTTGGTTAAAAAAAAAAAAAAAAAAGGAAAAAAGGGAAAAAGGAAACAAAAGGAAAAGGAAAAAAAACAATACATATATATAACCGCACTTAACGTTATTAAACCAAAATCGTAAATTTTCCTCTTCCTCCCCCTCCTCCCCTGCTTTTTTTTTAAATAACTCAAGGGGTGAATTTTAATTTTATATACCCTTAAAAAAAAAAAGAAATAAATGTGTCGAACGTTAAATTTTTTTAATTTAAACGAGAAGTCGACAAAAAAAAAAGGTAAATACTAACTGATTAATAACGTTATAAAAAAAAAAGAAATTTTTTAAAAAACCGGATTTCGATCGACGCCATTTTGATCGCCGCCATTTTGAAATTTTTCTTTTATCAATCATACCCATTATGGCGTTGATACATATATATATATACATATTTATAATTAATTATAAATTATGAAATTTTCTTTTGAGGGGAAAAGTTAACAAGTTTTTCCAGAGGAAATAATTTTTTTTTTTTAAACAAAGGGACAGGGGGAGGGGAAAGGGAGAGGGGGTGGCAGGTTTTTAAAAAAATGGCTACCGGCGGGTTTTTATACGCGTAAGGCAAATTTTTTTTTTCGTCGATTTTGACATTTTATTTTTTTTACGTTTTTGACACAATTTTTACGACTTTTTTTTTTTTTTTTTTTTAATATTTTAATTAAAAATTACGAAATTAAATTTTTAAAATCGAAAACGAGAGTAAAACGTGTTAAACAAAGACAAATAATAATAATAATAATAATAATAATAATAATAAGTATAAAAATTATCCGACACGACACAAAATCATTTAAAAAAAAACAATAAGAGGGATCGAATGAAGAAAGGGAGGAGGGTAGGAATTTTGAAAGACCACCTTTGAATTCTCTCATCGATTAATGATCGATCGATTGATCGAAACGTTTCGCGTCGTAATCGATCAATCGATTTTATATTATTTCAAACGTTTTGATGGTTAAATGAAAAAAAAAAAAATTCCAGTTTGAAAACTTTTTTTTTTTTCTTTCTCTCTTCCTTGTGAAAAATTTTTGTTTACAAAAAGGAATTTATTATTATTATTATTATTAATATTATCAGTCAGTCAATCAGTCAATCAATCAATCGATCGATCGATCAAACACTTTTTCGTTTCAAATTTTTTTTTTTTTTTTATTCTCCAGGTAAAAATTTTCAAATTATTATTATTATTATTATTATCTTCCGCATATTTTTCCCTTTCTTGAAATCCCCACCCCCCTTCCTTTTTATCATCCCTTTTTGTTTTCCCCCTCCCCAGTAATAGTAATAATGAAATTTCCT